TGTTAGGAGAGAGCATGGTATCCACCTTGGAGCAGATGAGCTCTTTATCATATTGTGTGAAGAATGTTATAATCTGTTTGCCAAATTTCTGCTCCTCTCCATCAAAAAGACCTTTACTTTTGCCACTTCTGACCTGTTTTCCACACTCTGATACCTGTTACTGCTTCTCTTCTGGACAGTCTCCAGGATGGCCAACATGAAGAGAAGGCCAATGCATAAAACAGCCACTGATGTGCAGCAGAGATCTCAGTGGGGTTGGATAAAGAGGAAATTGGCATACGTGTCCCATACACAAGAACCTCCTGTTCCAGGATTTTGAAGTGAAGTTTATTTTTTTTGCAATATCCCAGTATTGTTGTGATTTGATACAGATCCTCACACTCTGCCTCCCTTCTTGGAGAATGGACACTGATTCCAGGTGTGCATTTGTGCAACTGATACTGATATTTAATCTTGACAATTCTGTATTAGATGATAATCCTTTTCTGTAACTCAATATTTGCCAAATAACTGGGTTTAGACTAAATCTTTTAAAATTCCTCCTTCCTTCCTTCCTTCCTTCCTTCCTTCCTTCCTTCCTTCCTTCCTTCCTTCCTTCCTTAACCCCCTTCCTTCCTTCTTTCCTTCCTTCCTTCCTCCCTCCCTCCCTTCCTTCCTCCCTCCCTCCTTCCTTCCTCCCTCCCTCCCTCTCTTCCTCTCTCCCTCCCTTCCTTCCTCCCTTTCCTTCCTTTTCCTTCCTCCCTCCCTCTCTTCCTCTCTCCCTCCCTCCTTTCCTTCCTTCTTCCTTGCTCCTTTTCCTCCTTCCTTCCCTCCTTCCCCCCATCTTCCCTCCCTTCCTCCTTGTCTCCTTCCCTTCTTTGTCCTTGATTTTGCTTGTTGAAGAAATGATCCATGTTCCTGTAATTATTATCCTCTCACTGATCATTTAGCTTCACTTTAAACTTTCTTTTAACTATTCGAACAGGTTGTTAAAAATCTGCTTTCTTCAGGCTCTCTGTCTTTATATTTCTTTCCTTTTTTTTTTCTTTTCCTCCTAAACAATTTAACTTGTTAGCACTGCATTTGCACTCTTATCCAAGAGGTTTTCTCCCATAACACGATTTGATCTTAAACATAATTCAGATTAAAATTGAGAAAATTCTTCCCGTTATGTGCTTCTCTTTCTGATATAAATTATCCTCAGCACATCCGAAGACCTTGCTCCGATATTGCTCAAATCCTGAGGAAGATCTGAAGGGATGAGGACTGGAATGTGTTGGAAGGAAGGGACATGTGTCCTTCATAGGGGACCCCTGAGACACACATTAGTCCCACTGCTGCCAGGTGGCCTTAGTTAGGTCAGAATCCTAATGCCCATCCCAAGGAAAGTCCATGTTCAGGCCCTGCATCCTATTGTGGTAGATTCGGTCGAAGGTCTCACTCTGTGTCACTGTGAAATGGTCCTTCCAGTCCCCACAGATGCCTGAGGAAAAGAGGAGGTTTGTCCCATCATCCCAGCACCCCAAGGATCTTCCCCATAAGCTATCCTCTACCCCAAACACATGCATTGTCGTTCTCTGAATACCCTTGTTGCAGTTGTCCCCGTGAGGACACTACAGCCTTCTAAGCAGGCTCCCTGGATGGGACCCTCCACACTCACCCTTTCTCAGGAACTGCCCCTTTGTCTGGTCCATGATGTCCGAAGGGAGGAGGACTGAGATGCACACTGGCTTCTCCCGCATGGACGTGAAGGAGGCATTTTGCACCACGGAAGAAGCAGCATCCTCATCCAAACCCTGCCCCAGAAACCATCAGAGATGTCACATGCTGCCCCTCAGGTCCTGGGGACACAGATGGAGACTGTTACCACCGAGGGGTTTGTGACAAGCCCCAGTGCTGTCTTGGGGGCAGGTAGACTTGGGGGCAGCGTGTATATGGGAGTTCAATCCCCATTTCATGCTCTGGAACTGGGTAGAGTTGAGTTGCAGTAGGGCTGCGCCTTGTTTGGAGCAATGGGATCTGCTCAGGTCTCTACCTTTTTCAGTTCTTCATAGGTGACGAAGAAGAAATTCTCCCTGCCCCTCACCTCCATCCACCCCTGGACGTGTTCAAATCAGGAACTGTGGGGCACTGATAGGAGACAAAAGGCAGCAGGTTTGGGAGGAGATTGGGGCAGGGTATGGGGTGTGCAAGGAGAGGAAGGTTCACACAGGGTTGGGACCATCGCAACCATAAGATTGGCCAAAGAAAAAGTGTATAAGAAGCAGGGGGTTCCACTAGGGAAAGGGGAGTGACCTGTGGTTGGAGCTGACCATTGTGGTCTTCATCGTCCTCTTCCTCAGTCTGCCTTGTTCAAACCCAGCTGTGATGATGCCATTTCTTTTCCCTGAAAATACAGGAGCAGAAACAGGCTTAGAGACCTCAGAGAGGCTGAAGTTCGAGGTATGCAGGGCTCCCAGGTCAGCTCCTGACAGAGCTTTATAGGATTTTCTGATCGAGACTTCCTGAAGACCTCTGAATTCTGCAAGACAAAGCAAGGAAATCCACCTTCCATCCATTTCAGAGCACAGCAGGGTTTTGCAAACCTGGATATCTCTCCAGTACTGCTTTGTTTTGTCTATCTCCTCATTCATCCTCCCCTCTTGGCAAAAAATTGGTTTCATAGACATCCTCGGTGGGCCCTAGAAAAAGACACTTGAGCTAGAGGTGATTAGACACCTCCGCATGCTCTGAGCATGCCCTAAACCACACTCATGCTCTCCATCCAGAAAGTCCCTCAGGAACTGCTCAAATGGTGTGGGGTCCTCATAGCTGTTGCACATCTTGCAGAAGTAGTAGTAGGAGATGACGACATCGCGAGGATTCCGTAGAGTGTAAATGACCTGGAGCAGGGCGTATGCAGAGGTTATAGACCCCCAGTAGGTGAACTGGAATGTCCAGGACCTGGCAGTCCTGGTGGGTTTGTAAATGGAGAGATCTTCCACAGAGGCCCCAGACTCCATCAACCAGTCCTTAACCAGGGCTCCAAGGAAGCCCCAGACTCCATCAACCTTAATCAGGGCTCCATGAAAACGCAAGGCCTCTAGAGCCAATGAATACGCCCCAGAGAACCAGAGAGGGGCAAGACGCAACATGGCGGGGTTGCACATTTCCATCTGGAAGGCTTGTAGGACAATTCCCACCTTCACAAGATAACACCAAGGAGCCCCAGAGAACCAGAGAGGGGCAAGACACAACATGGCCCGGGGTTGCACATTTCCGTCTGGAGGGCTTGTAGGACAATTCCCATCTTCACAAGATAACACCAAGGTCCTTAGCCAATGTCCTATCATTCCAAGGTTCTCAAGATCCTGCATCCTGCCTCTACCCCCTTCAAGCTTTCCATGGATATCCGTCCCACCTTGGCCTTGGAAGAGGGGAAGGACTTGGGGAAGATGTGACAGGTCAGCAGACGAGGTGAGGGGTGGCTGAGGGCCAACTCCAGACCCAGACGAGTCGAGAACCAGGGCACATGGTCAGAATTGAGGACCGTTCGGCTCCAGCCAGGATGGCCATGACTGTGGATAAGGCTTAGGATCTCCGTCATCCACACAGTGCCTGCCAGGAAAAGCAGAGGTGCATCTCAGCCCTAGGAGGCCAAGATAGGAAGAGATGCCAGAAAGGAGATGCTTTGCCAGCGGCATTTTCACCGCCAAGTCTGTGCATTCCCAACACATGGTGCTACCCTGCCCACATACAGTCACTGCATCAAAAAAATGCCCTCTACTACCCATAAGCTTCCTATTCCTGCCATGGGAAGTGATTCTCCCTCTGAACAACACCTGGAGATGCTTCCAAATCCAACCACCCCTTCCTGGACCTTTCCCCAAACCCTATTGAGAACATCTTCATCAGTCACTCTGTCACCCTTTCCTCCCTCACCCTACTCTGCTGCCTTCCCGCTGTACCAGACTTGGGGTAGGTGATGTTGAAGACGTCATCGTCCCGCACCAAGAACTCATGGTGCCTGGGTCTGTGGGTATCACTGTGATGAAGGAGGAAGACAAGGTCAAGGTGCTGGTTCCAGGAAAGGAAATTTCCACCCCTGTAGCAGATCCCAAACTGGTGCCAAGTGTTCAGCACAGCAGGGCGAGATCTGTGTGTTACAGGACTACCCACCAGATGTTCTCTGACCCTTCCCATGGGGACGTTATGCAAACAGCAGTTTGTTTGGTTGGGTTCTGCTGACTCACAGAGCGTTTTTAAGGAGGTCCAGAGGCAAATTCCTGCTAATGGGCTGACTTCTCTCCCTCCCCTTGCTGCCCTATGTGTTTACCTGTCCTCACAGCTCAGAAGAGCATGAAGCAGACATCATGGTGGGATCTCTGGTCAGCCAAGGGGGGACAGGAGGCAGTTGCGAGCCAAAAACCTCCCTATGGATACCCCAAATCTGGCATTGCTCTGCTTCTGCAGCCATGGTCTGCAGAGCTGGAGGAGGAACAAGGGGAGGGAAAAGGTTTCTGCCCTTGCACCACCATCCTGGACCAATGATTAACAAAAGCTGAAGTCCAGGAGTCATCCCTTCCCCAAGTCGGGATGGGCATGGGTGGGTGATGCAGACCACACGAATGTGTAAGTCTGTACAAGTCGTTTTTGGAAGGATTTGCCCTTAATTTCACTCCCACTATAAGAACTCCCCTTCCCTTGGTTTCCCAGATGAGTTTCTCCATTTTTCTCCAAATATACCATTAAACCTCCAAAAAAACCCACTGCGGTGTCTCTATTTCTTCCCATTTCTCTTTAACTCCATGAATTCTTGCCCCTCATCTGAAAATCCCATAACCACCTGCTGACATGACCTTTATGGGTTATTCTGAAGACCTTTTCTCCTAGGTCAAACTGTGCTGAGACTGGGTCATGAAAATGTTTCCTTCTCCAAAAGGAAGGGAACACAACTGAGGAAATGATAAATTTGGAAATGATAAATGCGCTGAATCTATATGGGCCATTAAAAAAGTTTCCTAGGAAAAGAAGAGATGCTGCTTCATCAAAGAAGGATGGAGCAGATCTTCCCCTTTTTCACTAAAAATCCTCGTTTCTGCATTACAGGAGAAAGAACAGGGGAAGTTCTTCCTTCACTGTGGCAATAATATAGACTGCACTGGACACAAAGGCAGTGGGTTTTAATGCCATTAATTAGGAGCAAAGCACAATTAATACTACCCTATAATCACATGTGAAATTAAAGGTCGTTCTTAATGTTCCCCTGGGAATGTAGGCATTAAGAGCTCAGCGTTATTCCAAAAAGACAGTTATTTGGAAAACTTTACATAACAGAAGGAGTAACTAAAAGTAGGCGGAAAAAATAAATAAATCACACAGTATATATGACGAGTATTTCAGAAATAGTAAATATTTGACCTTCTGTATGGCATGGAACTCTTTTTTTTTTTCTTAAGAAAAAGCTGAAAGCAGTCATTTCCCATTCGATCATGTTCTGTTTTCAGAGCAAACATGGGAGATGATCTGATGAAGAAATATTTAAACACTTCAAAGTGGAATGTTATCTGACCACAAGTATTCCAGTAACAGTGGATGTGAGAAAGAAAATTAACCCTTGAGACATCTATCCTGTTCATTATTTCAGTCTAAAAATCATGACTGAGAAAACACTTTGAAAATAATAATATTTTTTGAAGTGAATAGCCTTATTTCATGAAGTAAAATTATAAACTGTTCCTTTTCATGTTCTTTCTGTTTTTTTAGTATCTCCTAACATAAATTTTACTACAAATAACTCTGGAATTTACCATAAATTAACAGAAATTACTGTTTTTTTTACAGAAAAGGAATTTAAAAAGCTATTTTTGTTCTATTCATGAGAGTATTTACAGCTAAAGGATGACAGGACAATACAAACTTTGCAAACACATTTCAATGTAATTTCTGCTGAATGTGCAGTTTTCTCAGTGCACCACAAAAGGCCCTGAGTTTGCCAATATCAGAATAAGCCAAAAAGAGCCATTTTTTTTAGAGTAGATTGAAAGAAAAAAACAAGACTGGATTAAGGCTTTTTAAGAGTAGAATAAGAGCTCCCACTAAAGTTTAACAAAGCCCAAATCAGGAAAGAAGGCATGCCAAAATTATTCCCTATATCCAGGCATTTGTACCAAACTAAGAGGTCAAGGAAAAACTTCCAAAATATTATCAAAATTTATTTTTCTTGCAGTCCACGTAAGTATCTAAACTTCTCAGACAGCCCTAAAAGAAATATATGTGGAGTTTCATATGCAACAGGTAATAGTTGGTGCAGCTTAAACTGTGCAGTATATATAGTCAATGTAAAGATTTCTACCTCCAAAAGGTAAATATGTTACCCTAAATAGTTACAAAAAGGTAGGTAAGAAATATGTGCATTGGTATTTTCTGTATTGCTAGTTAAAAAAGCAAGGTAGCAATCTATTTTAAAATACATAATCATTTTATTAAAAAGTGTGAAAATATTGTGAATAATGCTTGGTTAGTTAAAAGACAGAGAAAAATGAAAATAATTAAATATCAAATTTTAAATATTTTAAAATTTGCTTATTAAAAAAGTATTTTATAGTTCTAATGAAAAAGAAAAGGATTTTAAATTGCAGTCAGGACATTTATGTTTTTTAAATTATTTTAAAGCTGGTCAAATATTTATAATAATAATAATACGCAATTATCAGGTTTTAGGCAGGGGTTATTGTTATATTCAAATAATTCCAAACTACATTTATCAAGGCAGAATTAATGGATCTTTGACAATATTTGAAAGTTAATAATGTATTTATGTTTGCTATATAAAGCATACATTACAGAGTCACCAAAACACACCGCAGAGGTCTATCTTCATTTTTCCAACAGCAAAATTTCAGAAACAACCTCCAGGCCAATTCAGTGAAGACCGAATTCAAAGCACAAGTCGTGTTAGAGAAGTAAAGGCTCCTGAAAGAAAATACATCCATGCTAAAATAAAATAACATCAAACACCACTTGGTGAAGAATCTTGTGGAATTTGAATTGCTGCTACAGGACAGTTCACAAAATGGAACGCCAGGTGGGTGGAAATTCAAAAAAAAAACCCAGGGAACTAAAAAGCAACAAAACCATCAGTATCTGTCTTCAAGGTGAAAATAAAAGAGGATTTTTTTCATGTCTCACCTAAAGGTTACATATTTTCTCATTTGCATTAGAATGATTGGAAATAAGAGATACCAAAGGATGATTTTTTCCAGCATAGATCATTTTCACAGAATAATAGAATCATTATGGCTGGAAAAGACCTTCAGGATCTTCGAGTCCAACCGTAAACCCCTCAACACCCTCCTGCTGGACCATGTCCCTATGTGCCTCATCTACACGATTCTTCAATACTATTAGAGATGGAGATTCCACCACTTCCCTGCGCAGCCTGTTCCAAAGTTTCACCACTTTCCATGTAGAAACTCTTCCTAATGTCCAACCTGAACCTTCCCTGGTGCAACTTGAGGTCATTTCCTCTTGTCCTATTGGTAGTTATTCTGGAGAAGGATCAACCCCTTCTTCACTACAACCTCCTTTCAGGTAGTTGTAGGGGGTGATAAGGTCTCCCCTGAGTCTCCTCTTCTCCATAATAAATAACCTCAGCTCCCCCAGCTGTAAGGTCTGTGCTCAAGTTCCTTCACCAGCTTCGCTGCCCTCCTTTGGACACACTCCAGCACCTCCATGTCCTTCTTGTAGTGAGGGGCCCAAAACTGAACACAGTATTTGAGGGGCGGCCTCACCAGCACCGAGTACAGGAGGATGATCCCTTCCCTGGTCCTGCTGGCTACACTGTTCCTGACACAAGCCAGGAGGTCATTGGTCTTCTTGGCCACCTAGGCACGCTGTTGGCTCATGTCCAGCCGCCTGTTGACCAACACCCCCAGATCCTTTTCTACCACACAGCTCTCCAGCCACTCTGCCCCAAGGCTGTAGAGCTGCATGGGGTTATTGTGACCAATGTGCAGGACCTGGCGCTTGGCCTTCTTGGACCTCATACAGGTGGCATCAGCCCATCAATCCAACCTGCCCAGATTCCTCTGTAGAGCTTTCCTACCCTCCAGCAGATCTACTCTTCCTCCCAGCTTGGTGTCATCTGCAAATTTTGCTGGGTCCCCTCTGGAGATACTCCAAAGATGCTTGTCAGATGCCCATCGTTTTGGGCATCTGTTGGTCCCTGTTGATTCCCCACTGAATATAAAGGGAATCTAGCAGCTATCTTGTATGCACGTGTGTAAATTTTGGGTGATTATGTGTGCTTTGAGGTATAATCCTACTGGCTGGATAGCATGACGCTCCTGTGTTGGAAATAGTCCCAAAAAAGTCCTTGTCATCGTGACCTGACCTGTGGCAACTGCCCCAAACCCAGCTGCTCCCAGGGTCCTGAACACACAGCAAATTGCACTGCGTGGATAGAAAAGTTCTGATAGAGATGGTCCAAGCAAACTGGGGAGACAAGAAGTCACTGAGCTGGCCTGAAAGTGACTGCTTCTTCCGTCACCTTTTCTGACTGTGGTTTTGGGTTTTGTGGCTTTTTTTTTTATTTACTTTTTTTTTTCTTTTAAATGGAGTGAGTTTTCAAACAGTTCTTGCTGATTTATTCCTTTTATGCCCCATTGGTACAGTTTCAAGGGACTTTGTATCTTCTTGTTTGCTTTGCTCCTTGGTAAAATAAACACGAACAGCTGGATTATCCACAAGTTCTTTGGATCACTTCCAGCCCTTCTGAACAACTAGAGCCACATTTCCATGTCCTGTCCATGCGTCAAGAAAACTGGTTTAAGAGGCTTACTACACAATGCAGGTAATTTTACATTTAAACTCCTCAAAAAGGTTTGCATAAGTGTTGATGGTGAGTATCTATTTTGTTGGTTTATTCTAAGTCTTCTTGTATTTATTTTGGCCTATAGCAGCTGCCAGGACTTGCTTTGCTATGGAAAGGTGGAAAGGCTCAATAGCAGGAACATCTCAGACCTTCCCCATAGTGAATGCTAAGGGGCCACTTTTTGGGGGGAGTGTCACAGCCAACAAAATGATGTTGGAAATTGCAAATAGTGTGTGACAGGGAAAACACTTTCAAGTGACATTAGCTGGCTCCTTCATAACAAAACTGATGTAGGGGTTATGCCACCTGCAGAGCTTGGAGAAGACACTATCTGGAGAACACTCTAAAGGAGCAATCTTAAAACATGCTATTTGCATCTATCTCTAGCTATTCCCTTATACATATTTCAAGTATAAATTATTAAAACTGATTAAATTAAATCTTGGTTTGCTGCATTCTTTAAAAAAATCATCACAGAGACACCTATGTCTCATATCTGATGTTGCAAAAAGGTCAAGGAAGCAACAGTGGTGTTAAAGGACTGGTAATGCAGCCATCTCCATATCTCCCTTATTTGATTTTATTTAGCAGCTGAAGATAAAATTTTGGCATCATTACAGTCCCTATATCCTTCCCTAGCATTACCCTATGCACCTCCAACACTGTGTTGTCCCAAATTCCATATCTTCCAAAAACATTTTCCATAATCCCTGATCTTCCTCATACTGCATCTGTCCTCATACTGCATCAGTAACAGCTTCTTTCTATTAAGTTGAATATGAAAATATTTCAGAATCCTCGTGGATTCACTCTAGCTGGGCTATGATTCCCTTTGCCTCTCCTTTTGATTCCTCAGTCCTGATTTCTCCAAAGTTGGGCTGGGAAATTAAACAAATTCACTTCTAAACTTGGGGCGGGGAAAAGAACATTTGTCCCTCCCCTGGGCTTCCAAATTTGCTGCCAGGGAATAAAGGTGGCTGCAGATAGACACCAAGGGCACCTTCTGTGTGGCAGCTCCAGCAAAAAGCAGCTGCAAGGGACGTGCAGAAGATGCCACTGAAGTTTATTATCCTTCTTTGGGGAGCACTTGCTGTGCCCCTGTGCTGGGCTGACACAGGTAATTCCTTAACGCTACCCCTTTTCAGGCTGGACATCTGTACCTGGGCTAGGAAGAATGCATTTAGATATATCATGAATGCATTTAGATATATCAACGAATGCATTTAGATAGATCTGTGTGCAGAAGACATTTTGATGGTATTTATTTCCTTGTCGGTGAGAGCAGTTTGTTTGCAGATGGTGATAAGTACAGAGCATTGAGG